ATCTACCTTTATTAAAAGTTACAGATTAATGAATTCCACTGAGTTTAACTGAGGGCCTGTCTACACGGGGACACTCAGGAAAGTTAATCCACATTAACTTTTAAAGTGGATTAATAAAATCACATTAAATCCCGCTGTGGACATTCTCACTCAGAATAAAGGCTATATCTATACTGTGCTGTAGTGAGGACTACAGGCATGTTAACTGCACAGTGCACAAGAGTTGCACTCTAGCTGCCAGTGTGGACACTGCTGGCAAGAACTAAAAGTTGGTGTTAAATATACTCCTCTTTCAAACAGGACTACATCAATGCAAACTAGACACCTTTTAGTTTGTGCCAACAGTGTCCACACAGGGCAAGTTAGAGAGCAACTCTTTGGTGTGCTCTGCGATTCCCACCCCTGCAGTCCACACTGTGGTGCAGTGTAGATAAGCCCCTAAAGTCTCTAATTAGTTTAGGCTAATTCACTTCCCAAGGCCTAAACCAAATTAAGGCCACTTTAGTTCACATGGGGTTTTAATGCAGTTTTACTAATCCACTTTAAATTCACACCCTTATTAGTTAATTTAGACTAATTTCCTGAGTGTCCCCATGTAGATGAGCCCTGAAACTTTATGAGCAAAAGGGACAATTCTGGCTCTCTGTTTCATTAGAAACTCCTCCCAGCCAGCAAGGTATCGCGTTATGGCTACCATTGGTAAAAGGCTTAACACTGTTGCTAGTAGCTGGTGGAGACAGTGGCCTTATGCAAATTAACAAGGGTGCCACATAAACCCCAGCTTTGTAAACAGGGAGAGCTAAAATTCTCCAGAGAAACATGGGAGAAGCAGCGCTTCATCTTGTGGACGGTGCCAATCTGCATAGATGGACAGCAAACCAAATCCAAGACTGAGTCATGGGTTGTCTGGATCTGCTCACACCCTGGATTTCCGGTCTCTGCAAATCACATAGAAATGGGCTCTTTGGTGGATGGGAGGGTCCCAAAGGAGGGCATCGCAGTATGTTGGAAAAACAACAAGCCAGAGAAGTTACGTGTTTGGTGACAAGGGAACCCCACATAGGGAAAGAGACAGACAGACAGGACACCCGTCATGATCCAAATGGCAGGAATTGTATATCATACCACAGGAATGTGTTGGAGGGATTGTGAAGGATACTTGAGGAGCACAGCAATCCGAGTATTATCAGGCAGGAAAACCACTATCATGCATGGGTCTGATAAACCCCAGAAGAGCCCCGAAGAATGCCATAATGGAAGCTTGAGTAGTTTATGAAGTGCCTTGGGAATGCAGAGGGAGATAGTGGGGAACCCAAAGCAGATTACACCAAAGGAATGAGGAGTGACACCCCTGTACTAGCCACTTAATATTTCTGGTGCTATTCAGCTGCTCGGGGAAAGATGCTTCCTGGAATGAGGATTAAAACAAGGGAGCAGCATGCCCTACAGCGAATTTATTTGGTGGCAAAACACCAGCCCTCTCTGTTTTGAGGTACCTGTATCTTTGGGCAGCTACGCAGCCCATCTCTCTGAAAAGCCCTAAAGCCAGATTTTGAAAAGAGCTCAATCCCCCACAGCTTCTATTGTTCTCAGCAACTTAGGCATGAAGAGATTTCAGAAACTTGTCCAACGTCACAGGCAGTGCAAGGCAGAACCAGGACTGAGTCCCACTCCGTTTTCTGTACAGTGATCGTGCCAAAGAGCCCCAGTCATGGAGCAGGACCCCATTGTGCTAGGCGCTGTACAAACACAGAACAAAAAAGATAGCTCCTGCCCCAAAGATACTCTGGTGCCGTAACCCCAAGGCTGTTGTCTTCCACCAGCTGGTTAGTTGGGCAACCAGGCTCTTTCAAAATCGATGCCAGCTGCTGTTGTGGTAGAAGCCAAGGAGCGATTAGTACTGTGGTTAGCACTTGGATGGTTGGCCCTCCAAGTATAAACCAGCGCCACCTTCACAACACACCTGAGCACTGCAAGCCTTGTGGCTCCTTCTCAGTCTGGATCGCCTACGTCTCCATCTTTGGATCTCCAGCACTGTCATTCCTGGGCTGCTGGCCGAGTTGAAATAATTGCGAAAGGCACTCAATTAAACAGAGTCCCATGGAAAATAATAGCTAATAGTAAGATGTAGATGAGGAAGCAGGTGCTACGTAGGAGACAGCGATCACGGAAGTGGTGTCAGGGAAGCGGCCGTGCATTCTTCCACCTCTTCTGTAACAGAGCGCTTTGGGACAGGTGCTGACACCAAGTGTCCCATCTCCAAGACCACCCTCCACCCCAGCAACCCCCACCAGCTGGAGTTGTGCCAGGGTGTCAAGTTGCCTTACGCTGTGAACAGCTAGAATTTTGATCTGGAAAGAATTGGAGCCACCTGCGGCATGCTGTCAAACCCGCGGTCGGGTAACATTTGGCCGAAGAGAGGGTGACTGGGCCTTGGTGTTATCTGAAATCAATATTGGGAAAACAAAGTTTGCAACCATGGTAGCACTCCCCCGCTCTCAAATGTTACAGGCTGAAGGGCTTTGGCATCCATGTACTTTACATTTCAGGATATCTCCATAGGTGCTTCTTGCTCCCTTAGGCATGAGGAATAATAGAAAGACTGGCTGAGCTAGGAGTCAAGAGCAGAAGCACAAAGCAGGGAACGGCTGCTCCTTTCTCTGAACCTGAACATGCACCTGCCCTCAGAGAATGTGTGCTCTGTTACTTCTCTGCCATCAGGAACTTAGTATTGTGATAATCCCCAGTACCAAACATAGATGACACAGAAAAGTTGCCTATCAGTTATTTTAAACAGCTGAAGACCCTTGGCGACAAGCCCATACGAACTGAATATTACCTTCAGCTGCTTTCAAATAAGCTTTGCAGATTAGTACTAATGGCTTGATTTTGGTATCCCTGGGGCAGGCAATAAGAAGATAAATAATATGTTAAAATTAACATAATTATGTTCTTTAAATCTCTAAAATTGCGTAGCCTTACATGCTGCCAACCTGTGAACAGTTCTTGCTAACAGTTATTGTATATGTGCATTTGGGGCACCAAGTTCCGTACCACACTTTTCATGCTTCCATATTATTTAGATCATACGAAAGTTTGTCTGTGTCTTAGGCAAGCCTTTAAGGTCCTTGTAAATAAATATTGATGGATTACTTTCCTCATAGTTTATTTTTGACTCACAAATGTTTTGGCACAGTCTGAGATTGGGGAGATTTGTGATGGGGCTGACGAGGATACATTTTGAAAATGAGGATTCCCCAGCATGCGTGCACACACACACACGCCCACATACACATTGTACATATACACACACATATTCTACACTTACGACACATCCATATACAGACATATTGCACACACCCCGCACAAACATTGTATACACACATGCACACACAGTCCATAGACCTACACACACCTATTATGCACACACAAAAATACACAGCTACATAGACCTACACACACCTATATTGTACACATACACACATGCAGACATGATACCCACACATATACACACTCTTCTCTGACCCTGTAAAATCCACTGAAGATCGACCTGCTCTGCTATTCCATTCTGTTCTATTAATTTCACTATTTCCTTCTCCTGTGTCATCCCTGGTCCTCTGGGCTCCTCTCTGGGAGTCTTGATGTTGAAATATTACAGGAAAGACAGTTTTTTTTAAAAATCCTCCTTCTGTTTTGAGTGATTGGGCTGACAGTGGGTGAAAGCCATATGAAGGGTGCAAAAAAGGAGAGGAAAATTGGGAGAGGGGAAAAGAAGGGAAGTTCAGGAAGAAAAGGGGAGGACAGGAAAGGGGGAGAAATGAAGGGGGGGAAGAAAAGAGAGAAAGAGAAAATTGAAAAAGGACAGAGATGAGGGAAGGAGAGAAGTGACAGGCTGTGAAAACAACAAAAAAGAAATGAAGTGTTCACTTTCACTACCAGTGCCATTGTTTTTGGGGGCTGAACACCAATATGAAATGTTAGTTTAACATGATGGGCTGCACAATCACAGGTACCACAAATGGGATCTACCCTCAATTCTCACAACCAATGCAAAATTTCTCCTTACAATATGGCCTGGGCACGTCTCTCACCTACACTGGTTTACATGAGTTCAGCTCCATTGGCTTAACGGCCTCCATCTCTGGAGGATGTTAAACAGAAGCTACTAAAGTTAGATATTTTTAAATCATCAGGTCCAGAGAACTTGCACCCAAGAGTTTTAAAAGAACCAGCTAAGGAGCTCGCTGGACCATTAATATTGATTTTCAATACATCTTGGACACTGGGGAAGTTCCAGAAGACTAGAAGAAAGTTAACATTGTGCCAATTTTTAAAAAGCGTAAATGGAATGACCGAGGTCATTATAGGCCTGTCAACCTGACATTAATCCTGGATCTCAACATAATGGAACATCTGATACGAGACTTGATTAGTAAATAATTAAATGAGATTAATGTAATTAATTCAACTCAGCACAAGTTTATGGAAAATAGATCCTGTCAAACTAACTTGATATTTTTTTTTAGATGAGCTCACAAGTTTGGATGATAGAGGTAATAGCGTTGATGTAATATACTTGGACTTCTGTTTGACTTGGTACCATACAACATTTTGATTAAAAAACTAGAATGATATAAAATTAACATGGCACACATTAAATGGATTAAAAACTGGCTAATTGAAAGGTCTTAAAATGTAACTGTGAAAGGGAATCATCATCAAGTTGGGTATGTTTCCAGTGGGCTCCCACAGGGATCAGTTCTTGGCCCTATGCTATTTAACCTCTTTATCAATGATCTGGAAGAAAACATAAAATCATCACTGATAAAGTTTGCAGGTGATACAAAAATTGGGAGAGTGGTTAATAATAACGAGGACAGGTTACTGATTCAGAGCGATCTGGATCACTTGGTAAACAGGGCACAAGCAAACAACTGTATTTTAATACAGCTAAATGTAAGTGTATACATCTAGGAACAAAGAATGAAGGCCATACTTACACGATGGGGGTCTCTCTGCAGGGAAGCCGGAAAAGATTTGGGGTCATGGTGGAGAATCAGCTGAACATGAGCTCCCAGTGTAACACAGTGCCAAAAGAGCTAATGCAATCCTGGGATTCATAAACAGGGGAATACTGAGTAGGAGGAGAGAGGGTTTTTTTACCTCTGTATTTGGCACGGTGTGACCACTGCTGGAACACTGTGTCCAAATCTGGTGCCAACAATTCTAGAAGGATGTTGATACACTGGAGAGGGTTCAGAGAAGAACCACAAGAATGATTAAAGGTTTAGAACACAGGGCTTATAGTGATAGACTCAAAGAGCTCAATCTATTTATCAAAGAGCTTATCAAAGAGAAGGTTGAGGGGTGACTTGATTACAGTGTATCAGTATGTACATGGGGAACAAATATTTAATAATGGACTCTTCAATTTAGCAGAGAAAGGGATAATATGATCCATTGGCTAGAAGTTGAAGCTAGACAAATTCAGACTGGAAATAAGGCAAATATTTAACAGGGTGAAAATTAGCCATTTGAACAATTTACTAAGGTTGTGGTGGATTCTCCATCACTGACAATTTTTAAATCAAGATTGGATGTTTTTCGAAAAGATCTGCTCTAGAAATAATTTTAGGGAAGTTCTCTGGCCTCCATTATGCAGGAGGTTAGACAAGATGATCCCAGTCGTCTCTTCTGGCCTTGAATCTATGATGGAGTTACTCCTCAAGTTTGAGAGAGGTAGGGTGACCAGATGCTAAATACAAAATATCGGGACTGCCACAGGGGGAGCGCCTTTTCAATCATTACACTCACCCGGCACGTTCGGCGGCGGCAAATAAATCTTGCAGGCGAAGAAACAAGTACCCGCCGCAGAAATGCTGCCGAAGCCCATCAGTGACTGAAGTACCCACCGCCGAAGACCCAGACATGCCGGGTGAGTGTAACAATTGAAAAAACGCTCCCCCCTGCCTGTCACCACCGCCTAAGGGGAAAAAAACAGACGTGCCCAAAACAAAATATTGGGACAAATGGCGTCCTGACCGTGCTTTGGTCGGGACACAGGACAAACTGTTCAGTATCGGGATAGTCCCGATTTTATCGGGACGTCTGGTCACCTGAGAGAGAGGGGACAATCAGGCCTGAAATTTTCTAGCATAGTCTGGTGTCAGGGTGGGATATGAACTGACCACTCCCGGCAGAGGAGGAATTTCTGAAGGGTGGGGTATGGAAACTCCACTGAATGACTCTCATCTGTTTCCCACAACGTCCAAATTATGACTCCAGATTTAAAAGTCACCCAGCAACACTGACAAGGAAGATCAGACGACAGGCTCCAACAAGATCCTCCCAGCTACCATGGAGTAAGAAACCAGCCTCACGCTTCCTTGCACATAATGTGACTTGATCGCATTCTATAAGTATTACATGGGGAACAAATACTTGATAATGGGCTCTAGCAGACAAAGTATAATAAGATCAAATGGCTGGAAGTTGAAGCTAGACAAGTTCAGACTGGAAATAAGGTGTAATTTTTTTTTTTTTTAACAATGAGGGTAATTAATTATTGGAACAATTTACCAAGGGATGTGGTGGATTCTCCATCACTGACAATCAAGATTTAAATCAAGACTAGATGTTTTTCTAAAAGATATGAGCTAGTTCAAACAGGAATTATTTCGGGGAAATTTTATAGCCTGTGTTATGCAGCCAGACTAGATGGCCTTTTAGACCCCTTTACACTGCCAGAGAGGCGTAAAAGGACCTTAGTGTAAATGCAATCAGTCCCAGGGTGTTGAAATGACTCGCCCAAGGTCACATGGAAAGTCAATGGCAGAGGCAGGAATAGAACCCAGGAGTCCTAGTTGCTAGTCCCTGCTCTAATCAATCACTTAAATGGATGAGAAATGATTTACACAACTTATAAAGCTGTAAATAAAATGGTAATAATGATACACAGGGGAGGTTAAATCTGCAGCCGATAAGTCTGAAGGGGAAACATAAATTAGCTGAGGTATGTGCCTGCAGCGTGAAGGCACTTTTAAGAGCGCTAGATCACAACTCAGAGTGTTGACGTGTTTACTTGCATTGACCAGTTATAACAAAGGCTCAGACAACAATGTACCTTACATACACTTATCTTCCACTACGTTACTGGCAATCAGGGTGTTTCACACAGTTTAAGCAAGGTCTCTGGGAGGGCTGCCTTCACCCCATACAAATAGGTGTCCCTGCATGGGGCTAGAGAGTTAGGATTACAAACTTTTGGAGTGGCTGCCTGGTAAGGCCTCCATTCAGCAAGGCACTTAGAACATACCTAATTTTAAGCACATGCACGGGCTCACTGAAGCCAATGCCTAAAGTTAGGCATGTGCTTGTACCTGGCTGAACTGGGGCACAGGTGGACAATTAGGCCCAGATCCTCAAAGGCATTTAAGCCCCTAACTCCCATTGAAATCGATGGTAATTAGGTGCCAAAGTTTCTTTGAGGATTTGGCCCTTAGTGGTTAAGGCTTTGTATCAATTCCTTCCGCAGTTCAGCTTCCCCGCCTGATGCCAGGGGCCTGCCTGCTTCACACAGTGGATTTCTCTGTTCCACAGTTTGACACGCCAGCCTTTAGTGGGTTTGACATGTGCCTGCGGTAATACAAGCTGTCTTGTTGGCAGCTGGCGAGGACTGCAAAGTCCTTTCACTCCCTTGTCCCTCTTCTGCTAAAGGATTATCATTTGGTACACGAGGGACAACAGGTGGGAGTGAGCTCTGGGAGGTGCCAAGACACCAGGGCTGCTGGCACAGAGGAGGGCCTTCCTGTGGAAGAAATGGGATTCATGCTGTTACGCAAGCTGCCCATTTAAACTTCTGGTTGCATGGAACCTCTCAGAGGGCATGTAACTAAACAATGTAGGTGGGCAAAATGCCATGCACTAACAGCGGGGCACAAACGCTGGCAGGCAGCTACACTCAGCAAGTTTCCAAGCCGGCAGTGTCCTAACTGTTAAGGTGCCCAGTGCTGTTGTGGCTAAGAGGATGTGCTATCTTTTAAACAAAACTTCAGTGTTGTTATCATTCTCTGTGTCATGGTCTCCTCTAGAGGCCACGACTGAGATTTGCGCCCCACTGCACTAGGCGTTGAACATACAAATAGTAAGAGATAGTCCATGCCCCATAGAGCCTACAATCTAATTATACACAACAGACAAAGGGTGGGTGGAAGGAAGTGTTATTATCCCCATTTTACAGATAGGGAAACTGATGCCCAGAGTAGCAAAGTGACTTGTCTGTGGTTGCCCTGGGGAGTCCATGGCAGAGCTGGGAATCAAACTGTCAGTCTCCAGAGTCTCCAGCTGGGGCATTAACCATCCTCATGTTTCATTTTAGAATCACCTCGTACCAAAAACCTGGCTTGTTTTAAAAAAATTAATGTTTTCCACCCCTAATGAAAATAGGCATTCCTGTCTGTTCCTCACTTGGGTCCAGTCCACCCTGCACAGTTTGGGCTGTGTTGTAACCAGGCCCCAGTCTCGGTGGTTTGTAGGGTAAATGGGCCCTTACTCAATAAACTTAACCCTTCTTAGAAGATATGTCCTGAAGCTGTTCCCGTTGAAGTCATTGGTGAAACTCCCACTGATTTTAATGGGGGCCCCATTCAATTTAGTGGGAGTTTCATCAACAGCTTCAATGAGGGGTTGAGGGGAGCCAGGATCAGACCAGAGCGGTCCTCACAAAGCACATCAACTAGCAACGAGCTGGTTAATTGTTTTCTATATTTAGTCTGTTTCCCAGCACAGCATGGAAAATGGCCAACTCCCTCTGGATCAGCAGGGGTGAGAGGGTGTACGCAGTGGACTCAGCAAAGCACAAAGGGAAATAAGGGGCAGGGCGTCCAAGCGACTCCCTTCTCAAAGGAAAAAGCCATTCCCAGAGTTCCTGGGGGACACTCAGCATTGGGAGCACAAGGAGATGGATATTTATGTTTTTCACAAATAAGTCACAAAGCTATTTTTAGCCGGCCTCCCACTTCCTTCCTTCCCTCTTCCCCCCGCCTGCAGTCCGAGAAGGACATCAGCATCGGGCTGTCAAATCAGCTGAAGAGCCCATGTGAGTGGGTGAGATTAACATAAACAAAAATGTCACCAGTGCTGATCTGGTGTCAGTTCTGGTCCTTGGGGCAGCTAATGAATTCACTCTACTTCTATCATAGCAAGCTTAGCGGGTGATATCCAAGCCTGTGTAGAGGCCAGTGCCCAGCTCAAGGCCTATGCACTGTAGGACCTGCATTTGGGTGAATATCACCCTTTAGAACTAGGGCAGAGTTCACAAATAGCTTTTCCTGTATAGACACGTGTAACAGTCAAACACATGCACAATAAACCGCTCTCTATGGTTCCTTTCAAAATGAGGCAGTCTGTAAGCAACGTTCAATGGGAAACTGAGGGCTCCATTGAGCGGGAAGGTCTGCAGATGTCTGCTCGGGACAGAAAACGTGCACTCCTCTTGCCACTGTAATATTCAATAACTGTGGGATGTCTGAATGTGCCATTGTACTGTGGGCATTGAAAGCAAGTGGGTACCAAGATATTTGAAAACTGGAACCAGCTGATCTCTTCCCTTCCCTTCTCCCTCACCACTTTGCTGATGGAGGTGTGCTGTTACACACAGCAGGTGCAGCTAGGCCGAGTTCCCTAGCCTGAGAGAGAACTGCAACAACAGCAGAGTGCTGATGGTAATTTCAAACTGAGTGGCAAGCTGGCCTAGTGAAGTCAGTGCTGGCCTGCCGGACAGGAACGCCTGAGTTCTAATTCTGACACTGATCCTCCATGTAATTGCATCACTTTGTGCCTCAGTTTCCCCCTTTGTAAAATGGAGACAATACCAAGCTACTTCCCATCAGCACTGGAAGAACGATTTCGCGAATGCTTTGAAGTGTCCACTGGACAAAAACCACCATTGCAATTGGCTCCCTTGTTAGTTGGTGCAGACGAGCCAAGGACTGCCTGGGTCATGGAGGCTGAACTCTTCTCTCTTGGCTAAAGCCAGCCCCTCCACGGCAGCTGGACAGGGGCAGCGTGGCGGAGGTTTGCACCACGACAGCTCTCAA